GGTTCAATTTGTTCTTAGGGTTTAGTATTTGGTATAATGTACGTATTTTTGCAAAAAAAAATCATAAATACGTACATTTTTAAGTGTTAAAAAGGGCAAAATCCATAAACTTTTCAAAAAGGGGCAAAATCCATAAATGCCATTATAAAAAAGGGCAAAATCCGTAATAATCCCGAATTATATATGTTGTTTCTTCTAGTTTTTGGTCCCCGCTTCCTCACCATCTCTAGCATTAGCATCATACTTTTCTTTTATTTCATATATATTTTCGACATAACATGTGGATTTTCGATTATAACTTTGGAAAATTTACACCAATCATTTATAATAGTATATTCGTAAAACAAAATAAACCATAAACTTTCTACAACGCAGGGTCATATTCAAAATCAATTCTAATATTTGCGTGTTTTTACTTTGAAGATGAACCGAAGAGGACAGAGATACAAACCGAAGAGGACAGAGATACATATACCGACCAAGATTCGTGTACATAAAAGCAAAACTGAGATATGAATTTGTTGGCATGCAAATAAATTACAAATGTTTGATGCTAAGACCAAATAAAATTAAAAAGGGATTTAGGGATTTGGTATCTGTGAGAGGAACAGTCCATTGAATCAGTGAGATAGGATACTTTTAATTATGCTGTCTTCTTCTGCTCAACATGGTTCGAATCCCCATAACAATCATCCATTGTCTTTTTCACCTTTGTTTTCATAAATGGCAAAACCTTTGGTTACAATTTGCGACAAAGGATGACGTAGGTGCCATTTAAAGTTGTATAATTAGATTGTGAATTCTGTTGTAGTTTAACTCTTACTAGCATTGTTAGTATTTGAAATTTGATAATGTCTTTTTTTTTTGTGCAAATGTTTTTGATAATGTCTATTTCACAACTTATCCACATTTCTTCGTTTTTATTAAAATCATGGTTTTATTAAAAAAAGTAACAATAAACTAACAAGTTAATTAAATAACAAATCTAAAAATTACACAATCAAATTTACTTGGTTAATCTGTTGATAGTTTAATTCTCTCGTGAAACCTAGCTCACATGTACTAAAAGTTAATATTAAGGGAATGTATCATTTTCCGAGAATAGTCTATATGGGTTGTTTGGGGTAAACCGGAGATATCGTTTTCCAAAGACCTTTTGAGAACTTATCAATCGTAATCCTTGTACATTGTTGAAGCTGTGATCACTCATATATTCCATTATATCAAGAAATCAATGGGCATTGTACTATTGCTTTCGATTGGACTAAACAGAAATGGCGAGTATATACCTCACGCAAGGTCTGAGCATCAATCTCGTTGTTTCTATCCTCCCCGTTTAGTTATGTTGCCTGGTTGCAATAATTTTGAAAGTGATAGGATATTAAATGTTGTTTATTTTGTTAATCCATAAGTTTCATGATATAACCATATATGGAATCGTGTAGCTGTCTCGAAACGTAGTTTCATCACTTTGATTCTTACATTAATTGGAACCATATTCGTGGTTGTCATCTCGTAGGGTTATCACAACTACAACAATTTGTCTTCTGTGCAACTTGAGAGGTAAAACACGTGCACCATATCCTATTGGAATGCACCTACTTATCAACTATTTGGAATGATGTGATGATCAGAATTGGTCATATATTACATCCTCCATGCTTCGTAGGATAATATCCAGAGCGATATTGCAACAGATCCTTACTTGGTTGATTACCAATGTATGGGATGCTATCTCGTAGGGTAATATCCAGAGCGATATGACATCACTGCAACATATCCTTACTTGGCAGATTATTTCAGAGCTACATGAACAAAATAGGTGCTACCACACGCACACAAGCCTTATAGAATGAAAAACTCTTTTAACCGTGGATTATACTGTGATAGATCACATCTTCGTCTAGGCAAGTCTCTTGAGTAATTAGCTTCTTCAGTTTTTTTCCTCCAACCTTATAAAATCACAATTTAGTGATGTTAATTGGTTTAATGTTATGCTTGCTTTTATATTCGAATCTTTAATTTCTTAAATCTTAATCCTTAAATTTTCCAAGTTTGCATTGTATCACAAAACTCTCTTTATTTTGGTTCTTTGATTCTATAAAGTATACATGTTATAAAAAAACATTATAATTTTTGTTATTTTGACCACCAACTTCATTTCCATTGACAAAAGTGAAAGATACAATACAAATGCATTCAAAGTTGGCTAAAGATATTATATTACAATGGATTCCAAGAAATATACATAGAGAGGGTGTTGCATCCTTGCATCATTTGCTAATTTGTCCGCCTACTATATCCTCTTTGCTCTTCTGACTTGAGAATGTCCATCATATATATTGCCCAATGATGCGTAATCTTTCTGGATGCTTTGCTTGGCCAATTGATGTTGTATGTGTGAGTTGCAATAGATCCCAATTACGCCAAAGAATACACATTTTCAAATCAATATAAAACGGAACAACATTAAGCAAAACCTTGTATTTTGCTCAAAAAAAAAAAAACCTTGTATATTAATTTATTTTCTTTGCTGTGGTTAGTGATATCAAATATATCAATCTTCTTGTAGATTATTTAATTTGGTTCCGTATAAAATTTTAATTAATTAACGTAACACTCCACCTAAAAAGGTCCAAAGTCAAAAACCTTAAACAACACACGAAGCTCGTAACAAGCAAACCGAAACTTATTTGTTTTGTTTGCAAATCACAAAAAAAAAAACCACATCTTTGGTGCAACAATGGCTTCGTATTCCAAAGCACTGGTCGAATTCATAGGCTCTCTTGACAAAGACTCATACGTTTCTCTCTTATCAAAACTCATCGGCGAGTCAAAATTCGTCCAGAACAATCCTCCGGAGCTCATCCCTCAAGAGGACCTAATCGTCAAACACGTCCTTGAGTCTCTCCGTCCTTATAGCACAGAAACTGGTGGTGGTCCTCTGGTGATCAATCATGTGGCGTATCATTCAGGCAGAGGTAATCTCATCGTTGAGTACCCAGGATCTGTTCCCGGAAAGATCTTGTCTTTCGTCGGAATGCATATGGACGTCGTCACCGCGAATCCTGATGATTGGGTAATTTATATTGATTCCAATTCGTGATTTTGATCGGTGCCCATTTGAATTAGGGTAAAATCTGATACTGGGTTCTTGTTAATTTCCGATGAAATGATCCGAATTGTTCCAAATTTCAAATCTTTCTCTGTTTTGTGTACTCTAGGGTTTAATCGGTTTATGGATTCCAGCTACTGTGATATTGAATTGTTGATTTCGGTTTTTGTGCATAGGAATTTGATCCTTTTTCGCTAAGCATAGATGGTGATAAGCTTCGTGGTCGTGGGACAACAGATTGTCTTGGTCACGTTGCTCTTGTCACCGAACTCATGAAGAGACTCGGGCAAACTAAACCGTCATTGAAATCAACGGTGGTGGCGGTTTTCATCGCTAGTGAAGAGAACTCTTCCATTCCTGGTGTTGGTGTGGACATGCTGGTTAAAGATAAACTTCTTGATAAGCTCAAATCCGGACCCTTGTTAGTTTCCATTCTTTTCTAATCTTCTTGGGGAGTTTTTAGACGAAAATTGGAGGATGATTGAAGCTTTTTGATGTGTATTCTTTTGAAGGTATTGGATTGATACGGCGGATAAGCAGCCGTGTGTTGGAACTGGCGGTATGATACCGTGGAAGATTCATTTTACCGGAAAGCTTTTCCATAGCGGTTTAGCTCACAAGGTAGTTTCTACATGAATGGTTACTCGGATTGATGAAGTTGCAAACTCGGCATTGATCTTTTTCTTCTGTTACATGAAGGCGATTAACGCGATGGAGTTAGCAATGGAAGGGCTTAAGGAAATCCAAGCCCGGTTCTACAGAGACTTTCCGCCTCACCCACAAGAGAAAGTTTATGGTTTTGCAACACCATCCACCATGAAGCCTACACAGTGGTCTTGTAAGTTGAGGAATCTAAAGCAAAATGTATGCCTAATGACTTCCAATGTTGTCTACTTACTCCAAAAAATTGTTTGGTTTTGCAGATCCAGCAGGCGGAATCAACCAAATCCCTGGAGAATGTACCGTTTCCGGTGATGTCAGGTTATGTTTCTAAAGTTGTAAATACTGTAAGTAAAATCGAGATGTCTCATTTTTTTTTGCTTACTTTTTCTTCTCTATTCTTTTTGATTTCAGGTTAACTCCTTTCTACGAGTAAGTCACTTCACACTTCGCCCTTAATTCGTTTCCTTAATGCGTTTAGACACACAGTAATGTTTTTTTGGTTGATTTTGCAGAGTGAAGGAAGTGATAACGAAGTTGCAAGAGTATGTTGACGACATAAACGGTAACATAGAGAAGCTCGAAACCCGTGGTCCTGTTTCGAAATATGTCTTGCCAGATGAGAATTTACGGGGAAGGTTTGGATTTTCTTCTTCGCCTGATTCTATTCTTTCTCACATTTTATTGTACGTACCAAAATCTTAAAAGTCTTAATTTTCTCTTGCAGGCTCACGTTAAGCTTTGATGAAGCATCAGCTGGAGTTGCGTGTAATCTTGATTCCCCCGGCTTTCATGTTTTATGCAAAGCAACCGAAGAAGTTGTTGGACACGTGAAACCTTACTCGATCACCGGTACTTTGCCTCTAATCCGAGACCTCAAGGTAATCCATTAGATAAAACCTAATCTAACTAGACTCAAGACTGATCTTTCAGAGTTCTCTGCAACTGACTCTTTCTAAATTGACGAATCATGGTCTTGGTTTGTAGGATGAAGGTTTCGATGTGCAAACTTCAGGATACGGTATTACTACACCCACCTCGGATTCTCTCCTTTTCTGAATTTCCTCATCTTTGATGCTTATCTCTTTTAAATTTTGCTGCAGGTCTCATGGCTACATATCATGCAAAGAACGAATACTGCCTTCTTACAGACATGTGCCAAGGCTTTGATGTCTTCGTTAGGATCATTTCTCAACTTGAAGAACAAGACTAAAATGAGATAGAAGATCATAAAATAAAAGCTTCACATAGCTACTCTCTCATTAACTTAATGGTTCTATACATTTACTTTGCTTCTATCTATTTGTACAAGTCAATGGTGGCTCAATACATAAGACACTTTACAAAATTTAAAACAAAGGATAATGTTTATTCAGTTATTTATCTATCTTGAGTTGTCGTCACCTTCAGTTTCAAGTTTCTGAACGCGTAGCCGGAGTCTTTGCTGATGATGGTGTAGTTTCCAGAGACCATTCCCCAATACAACGGCAGAGTATATACCATGTGTGATGATAGGAGCAAGAAGATTGTTTGTCTGCAAGATTTTCGGTTTGGTATCAACGATTTTTGACAAATTCGAAAAAAGGAATGCGTGAACAGAAGAAGTAAAAACCTGAATCCATTCAAAGCCGAGGTATAGACCCAAAAGCCCTTCGAGAAGAGGAGAGTAGATTTTCTTCATCTGTCTTCGCTCGTACCACGCTGCAAAAAGGAACATTGAGAATCCTTAAAGTGTTTGATTGTGAAACATATCTAAAGCCTTCTGCTTTACTAAGTTATGGTACCTGCAAACAACTTCTTCAGCTCATCACGGGCAGAGCGAGTTTTCAAGACAGGTGCCATTATATAAGTTGGATCTAAGAGAAATAACAAAACAAATTTAGCTAAGAGGTTAAAATGTTTTGTAACATAGAGAAAGATTTTAGGAGTACACGGAAACCTTTAGGGGAAGCAGCGACGTAATAGAGAGAACCAGTGAGAGCGGCTGTAATAGTGGCTGCAAAAACTTGAGCAAATGGTACAAATGGTGGCAAGAGTCCAGTCTGAAAATTCAATCAATCTAAAGTAAATACGCTTGTACAAGTTCAAGGAACAAGAAGGAGACGAGGACGAACAGCAAATCTATAATACCAAAGCGACCATTCCTCGAGAATCCGAGATGAGATCTGTTCCCCTTAGGAATATATCAGCTAGTGCACCCTGTAAAAACAATATCAAAACCACAAAAACTTCACACACCGAAAACAGAAATCCGAGAAACAAAACAATTGAAGATTATCAGACAGCACAAAACCTGAAACGCAGCGCGATAGAAGAGCTCTTCTCCAACTGAACTTGCCGCAACTACTAAGATAAACTAAAGAAAGACAAGACAAAGGTTTAACATTCTTTCTCAAAGATTCAATCAATACTTGAAATTCAAAACATTCTGTTAGAGTTCTTCACCTGCCAAGCTGACATTCCATGAAAGAAGCCTCTAAGCTCGTCATCTTCAACATCTCTAATGGCACGAGCATGCGGCGACAATTTTACAACTTCATCCTAAACCAATAAACAATCAAATCTTTCCCATAAACACCAAAGCAGCTTCAATACCATTTAAAGAGAAATCCCTTATCACTAACTTACATCAAGAATGAAGAGAAGAGCCATAATAGGTGGAGAAGCATAACCAAGTCCAGCAATAATTGTATCCAAAGAAGCATTAAAACCTCCTGTGTAATCAATTCCTGCTACTTCACATATGAATCTTCCTGCTACAGCCATTCCACAATATATTCCTGTTTTTTTTCCCCAAAAACACAAAATCAAATTTCAAATTCATTGTTCAGATAAAGTTTCAATTTTGAAATTTCATAAAGGAAACTTCTTTTTCGAAATTGCTCAATCATCTTACCGATTCCATAACTCAACCTAACAATAGCATCGATCTTATCCCAAGCTTTAAAATCTCCACCGCTTCCGCCGACAAATTCGCCGACGGAAGTAACCTCACCAGAAGGTCCAGCTAAACCGCCACTACCGGCTCCAACAAATTCGCCGCTACTGAAACTTCCCACCGACGTTACATCTCCAGAAGTAACAGCTAAACCACGCGCCGCCGCATCTCCGTCGTCGATCACTTCACCGCTGCTCTGTCCAGCGGATGACGACGACGCTTTAACTGACTTTAATTTCTCTAACGAAAGTCCGTTTAACCGTGAATTACTCTTCCCGTTACGTTTCTTCAAATCCGATCTCGAACTCGCCGGAGAATCGAAAAGCTTAGAACTACAATTACTACTCCTAAATCCACCGCTTCCGCGACTACACCAAGACGAAGAAGAAGACGAGAGAGTGACTCTTGTGGTACTACAAGACAACAAAGGAAGACCCATTTATAACATGCGACGGCTCTCAGGCGAAGTTATCGGAATAACGCCGGTGATCTCGTCGGAGAGATTCTCTTCTTCATTTAGTGAGAGAGATCGGTGACCGTGCGTTTTTATTTTCTCATTTTATTTAATTAGTAATATATAATAAATAAGTGGAAAACCATCGAAGCTGTCAAAATAAATAAAAAAATAAGTGGAAAATTTTGGACCGTTGGATGATAGAGAAAGAGTTGATCTAACGGTTGTGAAGAGTTTAGTTATAGAGACCACTTAAATTGAGAAAGAGTAATTGAACTTGACTACGTACCTTCGTCGATGATTTTGATTTGTACTACTTTGCATGTCTACACGTTACCATTTGTTTTTGTGCAGTACGTAAAATGGGCCGTAATTTTATTTAATGGGCATTAGTTAGAATGAGTCTATTAACTCATTTCCATTGCTTGACATCTTAGCATATATGAATGAGACCGAGCGTTGTATGTGGATTACACCCAAAATGTATGTGGGAAGACAGTCATGTAAAGAAGCCAAGACGTAAATCAACATAAACGTAAGGTAAGGTTTATGTTGATTTACGTCTATATGTGGTGGTGTGTGTCATTTAGAGGAGATGGGAGGTGATTCCTCTCGCTTCTTGGTATTCTATTATTTGAAATCGGGAATCTATTTCATTGTGCGATATGGAAAGGTATTTGTAAATGATTGTTTAATTTTTAGGTAGATTTTTTGGGTAGATTTTTTGGTGAAAACTCTCATCGGAATGACCGATTATAGACACGATAATTTTTTTGTCTTGAACACTACATGGTGGTATATTGGAATGTCAAAAATAGAGTTGGTTTAAAAAATTGAGGTCCAAAGAAACTAGCTTGAAAAGCTAAAGATATTGACTACAGTTCAAAGTGTTTATTTTGGATGTTAGAGGAGAAATCCAACTACACATGACCTACATGCTTGGGGTAATTTATGAGTGAGAATTTGATATATTTATTTTCGAGCTCTCACAGATTTGATGAGATGTCTATATTTCAAAACCTTTCCCACGAGTTTAGGATGAGAGCCGCCCTTGAGATTTTGTGGGGTAGAAGCAAAAAGTAAACATTGTGGACCTCTTATACAATGAGTAAGAAAAATGTAACAAAAAAGCAAGGGCTCAAACTGCCACCTCTTATTATATCACTTAAATTCTTTAACCAACTTCATTAACATACAAGATTGCAAGCGCGTTTGAGTTGCTTTTATTCAAGGCCAACTCTGTTAAGGACTGTATGTGCTTGTCGTTTTAAAGTGCCTAGAAAGATGAAAACATTGGTAGGCTTCACCGAATGCAGTTTTACTAACAATGCATTCTTGTGTGCTCAGTAAATGATTCACCTTATCTCTGGATAGCTAATAAATTACTCCAACAATTGTCTATGTTATTGTAGTCTTTGTTGGGTATCTAACAGAAAAAGTATGTTAGTTGGATAATGTTTGATGTGGAAGCAGAGCTAGTTTTGCACATTATTGTCACACTCGTAATGAATGCAAAATCTCTAGAAAGATTTGTCATATCTATCATGCTTGCCACAAAACAATATATAGGCACACGCTCTGACTTTTCTCGTCACAAGAAAGAATGTCATTTAAAGAATAGGTGGTGTTTCAAAAATGATGATGCTTATGCATCTTTTGTCTTGAGTTCATATACATTCCAAGAGGAAGATATATTAGTTGGATCATACTGTACTCCTCACATGAAAATGTTTAAATCCATGAATCTTCATCACACTCGCTGATTGCTCGAGTAATTACCCGATACACTTAACCGCAAGGTAGTATATACGGGGTCGATCCACAAGAACCAATGGTACACTAAAGACTTCCGAGACTCGTTCTTAGCTAAAGCGAAGAGTTGTTTTGTTTGGGTTTTCAGAATTATAAGTAAAAATGCAAGTAATTTAAACGATTAAACTTATGAATTAAAGACATTGGGCATTAGGGTATTTCAGAGATCAACGAATAATGGAAACATGAGACAAGGAATTCAATGATTAAGCACCGTTCTTGAACATGAACACATTTAGACTAATTCTCTTTCAAGACATTAATCACTAAATTTGACTACTCGATTACTAAACTTTCGCATGTAATTTCCTAGTCAAATTCGCATTATCAAACAAGTTCATTAAGTTCACAATGCGTCCTAACGTCAACTTTCGTTGGCTAGAAATACATTGCTCAATTCACATTCTTTCAGGCATTCTATCGAACACTTTTGATGCATAGAAAAACCTAGAATCTACAACAGGGTGATCAATTCTATTATAGCATTAAGAACATTTGAATCAAAAAACCTATAGAATGAGAATTCCAAACAACAATCAATCCATCAATCCATTGAATCTCCTAATTAGAACCCTAAAACCCAATAGGAGAACTACTCACACATAGAAAAAGAGATAACAAAAATCAATGAAGAAAACATGATGAAATTGTAGAAATAACAAGATAGGGTTTAGAAATCTTCTCCAAGTGTCAAGAGGATGAATTCCTTTGCCCAAAATTTTTTACAAACCAAAGAACAAAGTTTAGAACTGAAAAATATCAAGGATAATGTGTAAAGAGTCGAGCATAGGGTTTTAAAATAATAGGTAACGAGCCGGGTCGGATCTGGAATCGGGTCAATTATGGGCCAAAAGTACGTCTGGGGAAGGGATCGATCGATCCGGTGGGTAGATCGATCGATCCCGAGTCACTGGAAACTGCTTCTCGTCCGTCATAGGATGGGATCGATCGATCCACTTGTGGATCGATCGATCTGGATCTTCTGGTCTCCAACTCCGCAACAGCTTCAAATGCTCGGCAGATTGACATGTCTTCACTAATTCGGGTGTAACTCTTCAATGCACCGTTAGATTTCCGTCAAACCACTTGGAAAATCAAGCTAACATCTTCATCTAACTTGTGCCAAAAATACAGAAAGATCTAACGGTAGGAAGTATTCTATCTGAGGCAAAACGTCTGACACTTCTAAACGAAACTGCATCTCCAAATGTGTGTTTATATCCCAAAACAGCTCGTTTTCCTCCAAAGCAACCTAAAACCTGTAAAGACTCGATAAATGACTAAAAGACACTAAAAACACACTTTGACTCTATAAAACATATGATGTAGGAAAGAAAACAAAGATTCAAAACCGATAAAAACACAACATATCAACTCCCCCCGACTTAGATCTTTGCTTGTCCTCAAGGAAAGAAAAAATCCTTATCAAGAGAAGAGGTTTGAAAACACGAGAACTCACATTTTCTTCGGGATCATGATCTTATCAATTGCCTGCAAACCACTATCACAAAATTCATCAAACCGTACTAGACTGTACTTCGCCATAACCGTAGCAACAAAATTAAGTCCCGAGATCTAAAAGAACTTCCAGAATCAGATAACTTAACCTTTTAACATTTATTAGCAGTGGCATGTACTCTCACTAAGGGAATATCAAACACGTTATGGGCTAGGTGAAAGGGCTATTATTTGGTGACTCAAGTGTTTCGGGTTCTCAAACAGGGTAAAACGGATGCATGTCATTATGCGAAATCACAGTGAGACACAAACCAATTAGGAGGTACATAGCTTCCCTTAAGCTCGGATCAAACTAACCAACACACTATCCCAATCAAATCAATGAGTACCCTTGATGCTTATCAATATAACTAAGAATAACTTGACATTTCCGGTTCCATTCACTCTCCTTTCCCGTTTCTTCTTTTCATTTTTTTTTTTTTTTTAATAAACAGGGGAGTGGAACCGGTGTCTCACAAAATTTGCACCAAGAGAAACCGCAAACGACAACAACATATCCCATGAATACAACCTCTAAACCATAGTGGCTCAATCTCAAAACATATCAACAACCAGTAAACTACAAATCACTATCCTAACAGAAGGAAAGCTATGTCGGTTCGTATACTCCGTAGTTTTCGCACATGGATGCATATCATGATGATTATATAAGAATGCATGAGGTTTCAAACAATGGATGGGGGAAACAGGTGTGGTACTAGACTAAAAATGAGTCTAGCCATTCAGAGTTAGCAAAGAGTGGTGAAAATGATGCAAACAAAACTCTGAATGTATGATCCATTACATGATTCTCAAGCCCCTAAGTGAGATAAATTAAGTCCAGATTAAGTTCAAATATATAAGATAAAGCTCAATTCATCCGAATTTCAAAGAGATAGGGACTACTATAGAGTGATAAAGTGATGGATTTTCCTGAACTTCCAAGTTATCGAATAGTGCTAAAATGGTCCCAAGGCAATGTAATCAAACACGGTGCAATTCCCCAAGAAAAGATCATAGTTCTCAAACAAATTTTGACTCAATAAAATACACAATTTTTTTTTTTTTACTCGATAAAAGGAACTCGACGACTCAAGAGAAAACATCAAAAGAAACAACCAAAGCAAACTCGATTAGTAGACAAATGACATCCTCCCCCCGACTTGCTTCACACCGACTCGGTGTGAAAACAATTCGAAGAAATGATGCCATACACACTCAAAAGAAAAAAATTTTAAAAATGAAAATGCAAAAAAGATAAAGAAAAAACTTACTTGGGATACATTGTGGGTTGCCTCCCACCAAGCGCTTATTTTAGGTCGTAAGCTTGACCTCTCAACACTAAATATTAATCATAAGAATCAAAAGGTTGAGCCAATGGACATTTTGTCCTTCTCATGTTAGTGCAAGAAATGAGATGTGCCAAGTAACACAATATTATCCATGGTAAAGAGATAAAATTCGCATCAAGAAAAATTACTACAAATGTAGCATATACTTTGAAATATTCCTTGATGGTTGAATGCTTATGAGGATCAAATGCATTTGGAGGGAAAATAAAGTCAATTTCCTGGTTACAAGAGGTTTGAACAAAATAATCAACTTCATCGCCATTAATCTCATATAGCACAATATCTCCATCCATATAATCAACCTCATGATCTTCATACTCATGCAAAATCTTATCAATATCAAGCACAAATCCTAGGAAAGATTCATCAAGAAGAGATCTAGATATTTCAGGCATTGAAAACTTAAACTCGAGATCATGAACATTCAAAGCACAATGATATTTAATATCA